TAAAAAAAAAATAATATATATATATATATATATATATATATATATATATATATATATATATATTTTTTTTTAGAGAAAATTAAACCTTTAAAACCTTTAATGTTTATTGCATTGTGGCATTGCTTTCATGACAATTAACAATTTGTATTTATTCTCATTACTGTAATAAGAGTTATTATAGTTAACTGACATGGAAATTAAAATTAAAACCATTAAAAAGTTACTTGAAATAAATAATTCATTCATTCATTTACCATAATACAAATTTGGGGGTGAAATGTTCTTAACTGTCAAAATAATTATGTCACAATGCAAATAATTATAGATAGATAGCTAGATAGATAGATAATATAAAAATATAACTTCTTGTTTATTTTCCTTTGGGATGAATTATGAGTTTTCTAATGCCTGTGCAAAGCTGACCTCTTTCCTCTCTACTTCTGTTTGTCATCATCTTAAACAAACTGTCACACACAGCCTCTGTCTTCACATATAAACACACTAATGTGTTCTCAACAGGCAGCTGACTTCTGCTGTCAGCCGCGGATGCTGTTAACAGCACTAGTTCACACACATAGTGTGTGAAGCTGCTGGTATCACGCAGAGGGCATTAGGCCATAAACATACATCCTGCCAGCTGTGTCACATGCTTCCTGTTTGTCTCTCTCAGTAGATGAGGAGCCTCCTGTGAGCGACTGTCATCTGTGCAGACATCTAACTAAATTAAATCCCTTATTATCATTATGACCAAAAAAATGCTAAATTAAAAAAATTTAAATATGTAATAAAATATTCATTTAAATTAATATATACAGGTGCATCTCAATAAATTAGAATGTCGTGGAAAAGTTCATTTATTTCAGTAATTCAACTCAAATTGTGAAACTCGTGTATTAAATAAATTCAATACACACAGACTGAAGTAGTTTAAGTCTTTGGTTCTTTTAATTGTGATGATTTTGGCTCACATTTAACAAAAACCCACCAATTCACTATCTCAACAAATTAGAATACTTCATAAGACCAATAAAAAA